AAAATAGTTGCCACTATGATTTTTCTGGGGGCAAAAACATAGTGGCAACTATTTTCCCAGCGGTAATTGTTAGTGGGGAGGTAATTGTCATGGCAAGGGCAAGGTCTGAAAAACTATCAGAGCTTCGCATGAAGGGAGCAGCAAGAACGCCTCGAGAAGTAAGATCTAAGTTTGGGAAAATTAAAACAGGCAAAGTAGGAGGCAAGGTAAGCGTGAGCTTTGGAGAAATAAAAAGAAGATAGACATGACCAGGCAATGTGTATGTGACTGTGTCATTTGCTACCATTTCAAAAGATTGAGAAGATACAGCATTGCTAGGTTCAGCCTTTGGGGCGGGGCTGGCTGGTCGCCCCACAATTAGTTTTCCGGCTGATTAGCAAAGGGTGGGTTAGTGCGACACTGGTTTGCCCAATGAAAACCCTTTTTACAGCATGGGCAAACGGTGTTGGGGCGGGAGGACCCAGAGGGTTTACGCCCCCTTGGGGCTCCTCCCCCTCCCGGCGTGCGGCACTGATCTCTAAAATGGCCGGGCTTTCCACAATTGAAGCAATTTCCGGTGGGGCGTGAAGAAGAAGCAGGAAGTGGCTGATTTTGGTGCATCGCGGCAGCAAGAGCCTCCATTTTTGACTCGTGGTGCCAACGATATGGCAAGCACATAAAAAGTCAGCAAGAGTAGCTCCGGGGTGAGCAAAAATGGGCTGCAAAACCTTCTGACAATCAGCATTAGCATTTTCATAAGCTAGTTTTAATAACAATTCATTACCAGCGTCCTCATTGTCAATTTGACGCTCGATGGCTAATTGAAGACGGCTAAGAAATTCAGAATAATTTTTAATAAATCCCTGCATGAGGTGGCGGCAGTTATAAAAATTCCTTGTCCCAGCAAATGATCAATGGTTACATTTGCAGGGAGACCACCCTGCGCAATAAGGGCAATTTGTTTTTGATATTCTGACCACCACACAACATACTGAGCATGAGTTAAAATCATATTACGCAGCATTTGCCAATCAGAGATCATCATGTT